CAAGGACCAAGACCTTGTATTCATTTATCCACTCACCACCTTCCTACTGAGCACTTACTAGATTGGAGCCAACGGCCGTGCTGTCAGGAAGCTTGTGTGCTAGTGGGAGAGAGGACAATAAATAAATGAACAAACACATATATAAAGCAAGTGATGATAAGTGATGCAAAGGAACATACAGCAGGGTAAGGGGACAGAGAGGGACTGGGTGCCATTTTTGATGACAGAATGGTCAGGCAAGGCCCCTTTTAATGGAAGTAAAGGAGCGAAATAAGTGGGTGCCATATAAGACTGGAAACCCTTGGCCCAAACTCCTGTGGTTACAAACAAGGGGTGAAGTATCTAAGAACCTGGCAGCAACCTGGGCCAACACTGGTCTGCAGATCTCCTAAGCAGTAATGCATGAACCCCTAAGGGTTTAGCGGATGGGCTCTTTCTTCCAAACTTCTCTTCCTCTAGGCTGAACTCCCCAAGTTGCTAGTGGCTCTCACGAGGGCCTGGTCATGTAGAGGAGAAATAACTTCCAGCAACCGTCGGTGCCTACAGCTGACAAAGCTTCACATGCTCAATGTCACCAGCCCTCACAATAACGTATTATACGTCCTTCTTTATGCATGAGAAAACTGAGGCTCAGAAAGGTTAAATAACTCACTCAAAGTTATAAAACTCATAATTATTAGAGTTGAGGTTCAAAGTGTATCTTTGTAACTTTGATTTTTTTGTTGTTAATTCTAGTAAAACTTGGTTTAATTCTCGAGGGAGGTGAAGCCAGGAAGAGGAGAAAGGGCTAACGTTTACTTAGTGTCCACCTCACGGCTAAGATTCCGCAGGCATTTCCAGATATTACCACACTTCCATCCTCACCCTCAACCTTGGAAGCTAGATACTCTTATCCCCATCTTACAGATGAGGAAACTGAGGCACAGCGAGGCTTGGTAACATGCCAAAGGTCTGCCAGCCATTCAGTCGTGAGCTGGGACTGAAGCTACGGGTCACCCTGACAATGAACTCTGCTTCTCAACTCTTTCCTTTATGTCCAGGCATTTCATTAAAACTGTGAAAGTTTCATTAAAACCATCAAAACTCTCCTGCTGTTGGTCTCTGTTGAGAATCCAGTGTTGAAATGAGCCAAGGAGGCTGAGCTCTAACCAAGTGTCCTTGACAGAACATCGAGGGAGGAGAGTGGTCTGGAACATTCTGTTCCCACTGGTCTAAATGTGAGGACAATTCTATTGCCTCTCGTGAATACTAAAAATATTCTGATAGTGTTACTCTTTTCACGGCACTCTATTCATCTAAACAGCACTAATAATTAATACTGCTAATAAATATATAATCCCTTTGTAGACAATCCTTCACAAGGTCATGAAAAAAAGGAAGACTGAATTAAGGATGCAAGGCTTTCATTTTAGAATTAATTTTGTCATCTAATGCACTCTCTGCATTATTTGAAAGAGCACTTTTGCATCTGAAGTAGTAACACTTGGCTTCTACCGTCTCATTAATGCTGCTTTCAACTGAGTCGCGAATTACCATAGGGCACTTTCAGACACACATTTGACTGTGCAGTGACCCCAAGTGGCGAGCTGAGGAATGACCACATGCTAAGTTAGAACTACACGTTAAGTCAAAAAAAATTCACAGAGCCAGGCTAGACACCATTACTTGACATTGACACTTTCATCTGTTTAGATTTCAGAGAATTAAAAGAAAATTGCCACAGACATGGCTTTAATATTACTCTTTAAATAGATACCTTTTCCCACCATAAGGAACCAGGGTTTTTTAGAGAAATGGCTAATTCCAGTTCTGAGCAAGAAATGTTAAGATGTGCTCAAAATGTCCTGTCATATCAGAAAGCAAGGAAGCTACCAAAGAGTTCTAGAGTTGTGTCAAGAGGACTGAGAAACCAAGAGCCTCCCAATGGCCAAAGCTGGGACAATCTGAGCATCAATAAGAAGAATAACTGTAACGAACCGAAACATATCAAACATGTTTAAATTCCTGTGTTTATAATCACACTCAGAAAACAAGACGCAGACTACCTCACCTTTGGAGGATGCTGAGGAATGAAATCGTTATTTTGAAAACTGGTCAATAAAGAGAAGGTATCAAGTATGTGTCTTGCTTTTCCTATAAGACTCAGGGAAACCAAACAGTAGACGAGGGGAAGTTTCTCTTCACTGAAGTATTTCAGCTAATAAATGAAGAAGGAAAAACAGAGAACATTATCATTTCACAACCTCTCATGACACTAGGCATCGAGGCGATGATGATCTATGGTGACTAAAACCAGAAGCAACCGGCGTTCTGAGCCCCCGACGGAGGTACACACCACCGCCCAGGGAATGTTCTCGCCCAAAACTCAAAGAACTGAATCTGATCACGTCTCTAGTTCCAACTCCTAATTTACAGGCAATACGGGGGCAGAGGAACACGGTAAGATGCCGTGGAAACACAATCGGCAAAATCCAGACTGGGGGAAAGAACAGGACGAACGATCCCTAAATGGCAAGGAAAAATGAAGAGGTGTGTTGGTGAAGAAATTTACAGATTCGTAAAAACTCAAAAATGTAGAATCCAATTGCCATGGCTGGACCTCACTTGGATCTAGATTCAAACAGAATATTAAAGCAAATTATAAGATAGTCTAACACTGGATATTTTATACATAACATTAGTGAATTACTGTAAAAATTTTTAGAGAAGTAATACATTATGATTATATATTTTTTAAAATCTTCAGTAGTCACACTGAAATATTTATGAATGAAATAATACAACGTCTGGAATTTGCCTAAAAATGATCCAGGGTAGGGGCTGGGTAGAAGCTGGGAAGGTACACGTTGACAGAGCCTGGAGCTGACCATCGCTGCAGGTGGGTGACGTGTACATATGGTTTCATTATCTTACTCTCTCTATCTTTCCATAATGTTTGAAAATTTCCACACGACAAAGTTAAAGACAAAAGAAAAAAATTGTACCAACTCAATACTCTGGATCTGATAAAACAAATGATTAGAAACCTAGCCCCATCTGCTTGAAGTCTTTGCGAACTGATTCAATTATGTCAATGTCATTGCTTATGAAATAAGAATGAACAAAGAGGAGTTAATTTTTGAAACCTGCTATAGGTCATAAACATTAAGTAACTTATAAATAGTATCTTAGGCTGGGCACAGTGGTTCACCCTGTGATCCCAGTACTTTGGGAGGCAGAGGCAGGAGGATTACTTGAGGTCAGGAATTTGAGACCAGCCCGGGCAACACAGCGAGGCCCTGTCTTTACAAAAAATTATAAAAATTAGCTGGGCATGGTGGTGCACGCCCATAGTCCCAGCTACTTGGGAGGCTGAGGTGGGAAGATTACTTGAGTCCAGGAGTTTGAGGCTGCAGTGAGCTATGATCGCAACACTGCACTCCAGCTGGGCAACATAGTGAGACCCTGTCTCTAATTAGTAAATAAATAAATAGTATCTTAACAAATACTGAAAGATACTCTTTAACAATAATCCTATGAGATTATTTTACATCTCCCACCCCAACACATGAGGTTACATTATCAACACTTAACAGATGGAGAAACTAAGTCTTACAGAGGCTAACTTCCCAAGCATCGTCCTGCTAGTTAAGTAGCAGAGGTGGATTCGAACTATAAAATGCCTGCTCCATGTATCACACCAGGATACTTCCCAAAGCACAGGAAAGAGAACAGAAAAGACGGCAGGCGCTAGGTGAGACCAGCAGACACCCAGCGCACAAGGTTTAAGGAGATGCTCACACCCAGTGCTCGCCCCGCACTTGGACAATGAGAGAGTGAGCGCTCCCTTATGTTCTGCACCTTAGGTGCCTCACTTCCCCACCGCAGGAAAAGACACTGTGTAGTGAGTTTGCTTTCTCTGCAGCTTCTGTGGCAAAGCTGCAGAGTCACAGTGAGGACTGCAGGAGAAGCCTGGAACTAAGGCTCTGGTTCCAGCTCCCAGATGCATGACATTCACTGTCCTCGGGGAGGCCCTTCGGTCCCCTGGCCTAGGGCTGCCCACAGCAGTGAGGCTCACATTCCCAGCACGTTCACACAGCTCCAGGGAAAGCTCAGGTGCAGGGTTGGAGCAGGGTGGTCAAATGACTAAGTCTGGAGGTCCCTGGGAGTGGACCAAAACTTCGTCCAGCGCAAGGTCATGTGTATATTTATTTTTCATGAGGTTGTTCCTGAGCAGAACCCAACTGCCACCTATGGTTGCTTCTGGTGAAGATCCTAATCTTTCCCGTGTGGTTTGGTGCCTGTCACATGGTAGGATTTTAATAAATGGGGAGTCATCAATTATCTAGAAGAGACTTGGTTTCTGAGAGGAAGCTGGAGACCAACGGATAGAAACACGCAAGCATCTGCACCTGCTGTTCTCTATGGCCTAGGGAACACGACCCCCAGTGAGGTCCTGGAAACAGGGCCAGAATGACAATAGGATGGATGTGTGCTCTGCTCAAAGGACCACAGAGCAGGAACAACAAGGGGGTAGGAGCCAAGCTCTGGCAGATGCTCCCTGCCCTTTCGGCACTCAAAGGGAGCACGGGGTAGAAATCACATGTCCCCAGCCCTTCATGCTTCCCACGTGTCCACGGCCCACACCGCAGTTTGACTTAGATACTTGCTGCATCTCCCAGAGCCCTGCTGTGGCTAATGCAGGCGTTCATCTTAAGCTCAAGCTATGGGGTTACTCTCGCCACCGTCAACTTGGCAACTGGCCAAGGCACTTATTCAGATAAAATGCAAATGTTAGTATGCTGCTACCTGCAGAAATTAAAATGAGAAACCATCAGGATTCAGAATTTCCTACTTAAATTAACACTTAACAGATGGAGAAACTAACTCTTAATTAATTAAATTAATTCAGCAACCACAGAAGTTCAAGGCACATACTCACTGGAGATGATTCAAGGAGCGGATATGGGAATTAACTGAGTGCCGGCCTGGGAAGAAGCCTAAGGCATTGTTCCCCTTACGTGGAATAGACCGTGATGCTGTCCCGCTCCTCGATCTTGACGCTCTCGTCACTGGGAATTGGCGGGTTGCTCTGAAATTGGTTTGGAATCCGGAACCAGACTTTTAATTTCTTCTGCAGGGAGCCATCTTCACTGGGGAACACGGCAAAGGAAACAGGGACTGTCATCCCCATCCAAGCTCCTGAAAACGTAAAAACACACAGTGCAGTAGGGCTTAGAGGCAGCGCTTGCTCAGGGCTGGGGAAGGTATGCCAGTCTCGTTCTTCTTCCAAAGCCATATTTTTTGTTCTCGACCTTAACAACGAACATTTCAGGTGTTTAAAATTACATAGTGAGGGCCGGGCGCAGTGGCTCACGCCTGTAATCCTAGCACTCTGGGAGGCCAAGGCAGGAGGATCGCTTGAGGTCAGGAGTTTGAGACCAGCCTGAGCAAGAGCGAAACCCCATCTCTACTAAAAACAGAAAAAATTAGCCAGGTGTGGTGGTGCGCACCTGTAGCCCCACCTACTCGGGAGGCTAAGGCAGGAGGATTGCTTAAGCCCAGGAGTTTGAGGTTGCTGTGAGCTAGGCTGATGCCATGACACTCTAGCCTGGGGGACAGAGTGAGACTCTCTCAAAAAAAAAAAAAAAGAAAAAACAAAACCATAGTGAGACATACATGAACAACTTTTATTTTTATGCCTTGGAAGTAGGACTATAGTGGTACAACTCTTGAAAAACCTGGCAATATATATCAAGAATGTATGTTATCGGTACCTACTTATTTCCTATCTAAACATCCATTTTAAGGAAATAATCCAAAATATGGAAAAGGCAATAGGTAATAGGACATTCACTGCAGCAGAATTTATAATTCTGTTCAAAACAGTAATATGTCTAAGTAAATTAAAGGCACATGATGCAGCATAATGTAGATATGAATAATTATGCTTCAGAAGACTAGCAGTAGTAGAAAATAATTACGAAATAATAAGTAACAGAAGCAGGATATGCAATTGTAGGAACACTAAGATTACATTAAAAACCCCTAAAAATATATGGTCAAAAGACAACAATGATTATATTAAAATGGGGGAGGGATTAGGGATACTGTTTTTTTATTTCCAAGATTTTCTTTAGTGAGTTTTATAATTTTATACGTATTTACATATTAAAAAACATTATGACCGTGTTAAGAAGGTAAAGATTTCTTCTTGACCTCCTACTGGTCAACTTACCTTCCAAAGCCTGATTACTTTGGTCCTAGCAAATGCTATTAAGGCTAATATCAGTTTCTAACTTTCTAAATGATCAGCTTGAAAAGTATCCTAAAAATTAAACATGACATCTCTTTTCTCACCTTGCTTTCTGACCCATTTTTTGGTTTGCAGTGATTCCAAAGTGCCGCCCAAATTAGAAAGCTTCTTTTAAGAGACAAACTCCTATTTAAATATGGTTTACGTGCTGACAGGCACACCTTTCATGAAACTTTAGGCCTATCATTTTGAAAACAGGGAGGCAGCCAGCACGAATTGCCCAGTCGGTACGAGCAGGACGGCCTAAGAATTCTCAGACCCTTTGTTTGCCAGCACAGAGTCTGGGACCTGCCACACCGAGCCTCAGAGCCCTGCAGAATTGGAGCTGCCAGGGCTGACGCTGGGGGTTTCCTGCCGGGTGCTGGAGGTCGCACATCAGATGGCACCTTGCCTTGTGCCGTGGCTCGGCTTCCTGTGGGTACCTCACCCGGGCAACCAATCCCAAAACGCAGTAAGCACTGTAAGGCTGAAAAACAAAAATAGAGCATTGGCCCCAGACCTGAGAGCGAAGCGTGAATTCAGAGACAGTGAGCAAGGACACCTCAAAGTGAGGGGCAGGCTGGGCCGATGCCAGAGTGGTTTCCCCGGAGCTTCCTGCAAGGAACTTCTTGTGTGTGCACGGTGCAGGAAGTTCATGTGCCACTGAAGCAGGTGGTCTGTAGCCCCTTCCTTGTGCTTCCTTCTGACGAAGGGAGACCAGGGCCACGTCCTGCAGGGAACTCACCCTTGTCATTGGTGCCTCCCACATACTTCACGACTTTGGGCATTGCCACCCGCAGAGCCTCATCCACAGGCTTGTCGGTCACTTCCACTGTGGCAAACTTCCCTCCCTCACAGGTCCTTTCCTCATAGGTGACTTCTTCCTAGAGAGAGAGAAGACACAGTGTCTAAGAGATACAAAGTGGCACCCTGTGATATCTCTAGAAGCAGCAATCGTCCGGCTACAAGAGATACAAACTGCTAAGAAACTTTCATAACCGGTCTGGTGACAGGGCGGAAGAGACAGGCTTGACAATCAAGGGCCATGAGAAATAGATTCCGGGATTCTTATAAACGCAGAGGCAACATCAGAAGCAGGAAAAACTTCTTATAATTGATATTCTCAGGGATATAAGAGACGATATTACATCCCCAAACACCAAAATACTATAAAAACGAAATGTTTAGAGATCAAAGAAGCTATTGTAAATTAAAACTCTGATAACAGAAATGAAAAATTCACTAAAAGGGTTGGGAGATAAAGTTGAAGGAAATCTTCCGAAAGTCAACCAAAAGAAGTCGAAAATAGAAAAGAAAATCAGAGGATTGAGCCAGGAGATCTGACATCTGAATAATACAAGATCCAGAAAAAGAGAAGAAGAAAAACCTGGAAGGGAGAAAACAAAGAAATACAATAAAAATAATCCCATAAAAAACTCGAAGGGGCCGGGCACGGTGGCTCACG